TAAAGTAAAATAATGTAAGCGGTGCGTGGGGGCCCTAAATAAAAATTGGGGGGGACCTAATGTCCTCCCCCCTGACGCCCACCCCTGTGCGGTGGGTTGGGGCCCTTAACAAGAATAAGGGGGGGGGACCTAATGTCGGCCCACACCCCTGAGCGGTGGGTGGGGGCCCTAAATACAAATTGGGGGGAACCTAATGTCCTCCACCCTGGCCCCCACCCCTGAGCCCTAAACAAGCATAGGGGGGGACGTAATGTCCTCCCCCCTGGCCCCCACCCCTGAGAGGTGGGTGGGGGCCCTAAACTAGAAGGGGGGGACCTAATGTCCTCCCCCCTGGCCCCCACCCCTGAGCGGTGGGTGGGAGCCCTAAACTAGAATAAGGGGGGGCCCTAAATACAAATTGCAGGGGGGACCTAATATCCTCCCCCCTGGCCCCCACCCCTGAGTGGCAGGTGGGGGCCCTAAATACAAATTTAACCTCCCTCACCCCCCAGATGACTAGGGGTCCCCCCCAAAATTAACCCCTACCTACCCCCTCCCCGCCCAATTTGTATTTAGGGCCCCCACCCACCGCTCAGGGGGGAGAACAATAGGTCCGCCCCCTTATTCTAGTTTAGGGCCCCCACCCACCGCTCAGGGGTCGGGGCCAGGGGGAGGACATTAGGTCCCCCAATTAGTACTTAGGACCCCGATCCGCCGCTTAGGGGTTGGGGCCGGTGGGGAGGACAATAGGTCCTCCCCCCTTTTTTTACTTTAGGGCCCCCACCCGCTGCTCGGGGGCAATAGCTTTTTTTTTTTTTTTTTAACAGTGAGCAGCCACAGGCTGCTCACTGTTTAATAGACATGCCCTGCGAGTAGGGGCAAAATTTACTAATACCAAGTAATCTTTACTTAGTATTAGTAAATTTGTCTGAAAGACCAATTTAGGTCTTTCAGCCTTTTGGTAGATAACTCTCTAATACCGTGGGAATTAGGGAGTTATCTACCAAGCGGCTTCAAGAGAAGTCCCGAAATGCCAAAGTTCCGAAGTTGCCGAAGTTCCGAAGTGCCAAAGTTGCCGAAGTGCCGAAGTCCTGAATTTCGGAATGCCGAACCGAGCCGAATATTTTCCCATGCACATGCCTACCCTGCATATAACTTACACAACCTTCCTAAACACTTACTGTAAAGAGTCATCTCATGTTTATACTTCCTTTATTGCAAATTCTGCTTAGAATTTAGTTTTTCTTATCTCTTGCTCTGTTAATAGCTTGCTAGACCCTGCAGAAGCCTCCTGTATGTAATTAAAGTACAATTTGCAGAATAGGAGATAAAAACGTTTAAAGTACCTAACATCTGATTGAAAATTATACCTTTTTGTTTCAATGCAGGCTGTGTCAGTCACGGCCAGGTGAGGTTTGGCTAGGACGCAATAAACAGAAACAAAGAGATTTAACTCCTAAATTGCAGAGAATTGCGAAATGAAACATCAAAGGAATGATCTTTACATAAAAACTGCTTTATTAAGCTAAAGTTGTTTTGCTGACTATAGTATCCCTTTAAAGGGTAAGCTTGCCCATTTTAGCGCTCCACTTTCTGTAACTGTGTTTCACTTACATTTGCATTATTTTTTAATTTGGTGAGGGGAGTAAGGTTAACCCCACACAACTGGTTTTGAGCTGCTGCATTGTGCCTAAGTATTTAAATGCTTTTTTGCACACTACACCTTTGTTGTTTACAAGTTACCTAGTTACATTATAGATTATATAATTACCTGATGCATTTATTATTATTATTATTATTATTTTATTATTTATATAGCGCCAGCAAATTCCGTAGCGCTGTACAATGGGTGGACTAACAGACACGTAATTGTAACCAGACAAATGGACACACAGGAACGTGCATTTACTGTGCATTGTGCTAGATGTGGGTAGACCCTACTTTATCTCATGTATATCTTCCGACAGCTTTACAAATCACCGTCTAAATCAACTTTTCATTAAGATTCTTTTCTCTAAAAAACCCTCAGAAGTGACAGTCCCATTTCAAGATACATTTAAAATGTTAAAATGCTTTTTTTTTTTTTAATGTGTACTAGAAACAGGGTTATTCACTAAATTGTGAATTCAAAGTGACTTTAAACAGAATTTAAAATATAAGGTCAATATAGCCAAACCAGAAAGGTTCTCTAAGTCAGTCATGTTCTCAGTTCACCTACTCTGGCCTTAAATTTTAAATTCACTTTGAATTCACTTAAGATTCTCACTTTAAAACCCCTGAAAGAGAACAGTGTTGCCAGGTAACCCATTTCTACATAGCATCTGTAACGATTTAGTCTGACCAGTGGTTACATCTATTCTGAAGTGCTGTAGGGGGGTCTCAGCTACTGAGACATAAAAAGCAAACACTGAATAAGAAGCTAAATCATCTTTTACAATACCAGTATACACATGAAAATAAAAAAAAGGGTGTATAATACGCAGCCCCCAGGAATATAACTACAAAATCTATTTAAATCATTGGTGTATTACTTACACTAGTAATAGGAGCATGGTTTTGTCCCAGCTAATTTTCCACATTTTTATTTCATCCCAACTGAGTCTCTACTCTACTCTGATATTAGTTCAAATTAGAGTCATCTTCTCCCTGCTTCCAATAGGAAATAGAAAACCATTAATGGTTTCTTAAAATGCTCACAGATTTACTATGTTAGAGAATACGATTTTCACCTCAATCTGGTATTGTATAGATCAGGGGTTCCCAATTAATTTTCCCGTGGAACCCTTTGACATGTATCGACATTGTGGAACCCCCAATCTCCCCCTGTGTGTGTGTGTATGTATGTATCTATCTGTGTGTCAAGGTGTGTGTATCTGTGTGTCAAAGTGTGTGTATTTGTATGTGTCTGTGTATCTGTGTTTGTATGTGCCAGTGTGTATGAATCTGACACACAGACACACACTGGCACATAGTGGCACACAGATACACACACCTTGAAACGCAGTGTGTATCTGTGTGTGTATGTATCTGTGTGTCAAGGTGTGTGTATCTATGTGTCAAAGTGTGTGTATCTGTGTTTGTATGTGCTGGTGTGTGTATCTGTGTTTGTATGTGCCAGTGTGTGTATCTCTGTGTCGGTGTGTATCTGAATGTGTGTGTGTGTTAATATGACACACAGATACACACACTGGCACATAGTGGCACATAGATACACACACACACCTTGACACACAGTTACACGCACTCAGATACGCATACAAACACTCAGATGCACAGTGACACATACACACATCTTGACTCACAAATACACACACACTCAGATACACACAGTGACATATACACACACTTGCACCTACATATATACACACACTCAAATACAGACATTGACACATACACACTGTGTCATATACACACACTGTCACACTCAGATACACACACACTGACATACATACACACACATAGGCACATACAAACACACACACACACACTGATATACACTGGCACACACACATACACACACAAACTCAGATACACACAGTGATACATACACAAACCTCGACACACACTGACACACTCAGACACACATACTATTTGACAGACTCACATACACTCTCACCAGGGCCGCCATCAGAAATTTTGGGGCCCATGACAAAGCACAAGGTCTGGGACCCCCCCCCTCCCTCCTCCCGGGCCCGCCCACACCCTACCTAGTCCGCTCACAATGATGCAGGACTGAATGTGGTGTGTGTGTATAGTGGAAGTGAATTAGAATGTGTGTAATGGATGTAGTGTTTGTGTGTATTAGATACTGTTTGTGCAGTGAATGCAGAGTGTGTGTTTGTGTAGCGGATGCAGTGTGTATAGTGAACGCAGAGTGTATTTGAGTAGTGGATGTAGTGTGTACAGTGATGTAGTGTGTGTTTGTGTAGTGGATGTAGTGTTTGTATGTACTAGATGAAATGTGTTTAGTGGATGTAGTGCGTGTATTAGACGCAGTGTCTGTGTATAGTGAATGCAGAGTGTTTCAATGTGTGGTGGATGTAGTGTGTACTGTGAATACAGGATGTTTGTGTAGTGGATGCTGTGTGTACAGTTAATGCAGAGTGTATGTTAGTGTAGTGAATGCAGAGTGTGTGTCAGTATAGTGAATCCAGAGTGTGTGCATAGTTTAGCGAATGCAGAGTGTGTTAGTGTGCAATGAATGCAGAGTGTGTGTTAGTGTGTAGTGAATGCAGAGTGTGTGTTAGTGTGTAGTGAATGCAGAGTGTCAGTGTAATGAACGTAGTGTGTGTGTTAGTGCAGTGAATGCAGAGTGTGTGTAAATTTGTAGTGAATGCAGAGTGTGTGTTAATGTGTAGTGAATGCAGAGAGTGTGTTAGTGTGTAGCGGATGCAGAGTGTGTGTTAGTGTAATGAATGCAGTGTTAATGTGTAGTGAATGCAGGGAGTGTGTTAGTGTGTAGCGGATGCAAAGTGTGTGTGTGTGTAGCGGATGCAGAGTGTGTGTTGTGTTAGTGTATGCAGTGTGTGTGTTGTGTTAGTGTATGCAGTATGTGTGTGTGTTGTGTTAGGGTATGCAGTGTGTGTGTTGTGTTAGTGTATGCAGTGTGTGTGTGTTAGTGTATGCAGTGTGTGTGTGTTGTGTAAGTGTATGCAGTGTGTTTGTGTTGTGTTAGTGTATGCAGTGTGTGTGTGTTAATGTGTGTGTTGTGTTAGTGTATGCAGTGTGTGTTGTGTGTTAGTGTATGCAGTGTGTGTTGTGTTGTGTTAGTGTATGCAGTGTGTGTGTTGTGTGTTAGTGTATGCAGTGTGTGTGTTGTTAGTGTATGCAGTGTGTGTGTTGTGTGTTAGTGTATGCAGTGTGTGTGTTGTGTGTTAGTGTATGCAGTGTGTGTGTTGTGTTAGTGTATGCAGTGTGTGTGTTGTGTGTTAGTGTATGCAGTGTGTGTGTGTTGTGTTAGTGTATTGAGTGTGTGTGTTGTGTGTTAGTGTATGCAGTGTGTGTGTTGTGTGTTAGTGTATGCAGTGTGTGTGTTGTGTTAGTGTATGCAGTGTGTGTGTTATTGTATGCAGTGTGTGTTGTTAGTGTGTGATCTGGGGTGAGGGGGAGGAAGGGGCATTTTAACATTAATTTTTTATTAATTTAATTAAATGTTTCTCCCCCCTCCCTGCTTACCTGTGTCCAGGGAGGGGGGAGATTCCATCCCTGGTGGTCCGGTGGGGGGGCCCCCCGGCTCCCTGTTACCGCAGAGGGGGCCCAGGCAGCACACAGCTTCTTCTCTCTTCTCTCTTCTAATAACTCTTGCGAGACCCGGTTACCATGGCAACGCTCCACGGGTCTCGCGAGAGTTATGAGAAGAGCGAAGACAGGAGGAGAAGCTGTGTGCTGCCTGGGCCCCCTCTGCGGTAACAGGGAGCCCGGGGCCCGCGGCTGCACACATAGATAGCGATACTCGCTATCTATGTGTGTAGAGAAAGAAAGTGGGGCCCGGGACTGCCAGAGCAGTCCGGGCCCCCCAGGGCCGCCGGGCCTGTGACAAAAGTCACGGTTGTCACCCCCTGATGGCGGCCCTGACTCTCACTGACAAACACACATACTCTTTGACAGACACACATACACTCTCACTGACAAACACAAATACTCTTTTACAGACACACATACAAACACATATACACTCTCACTGACAAGCACACATACATTCTCACTGACAAACACATACAAACTACACACAGGGAGATTGGTGGTGTACACATACACCTATTCACATATACATACGTGTATGCATGTATACACTTTATACACACACACACACACAAATACATACATGTAAATGCATATACATAAATACATGAACACATATACATCTACATACACACAAACACATATACATACATGCACATGAACTCATATATATAAATACACAGTCACATATATAATCATACATGCATAAGAGTATGGGAAAGCATAGATCTACATACAGGACTTTGTATATTGATAGAATAAACATATTGGAATGCATTATAAAGTGTTGATACATATGACAGAATAGTAAGATAATGCTGGGGGAGTGTTCATGTAAAGTGTTGGTACTGGGACAGGAAACCCAAATCAATATTTAGTACTCTATTCTTGCTGTTAAATAATTGGATCATTCTTGCTTCAGACGTTTTTCTTTCCTGGGTATTTTTAAAACCCCCTTTCAGTACTTTGATTTTTAGGTCCTTTATTGAGTGGCCAGGCTGGGTAAAGTGGTGTCCCACAGGAGTGCAGTACGATTCTTCTTTGTGGCGTTTAATGGAGTGTCTGTGCATATTCATTCTGCCATTTAATTGCTGGGTGGTTTCATTAATGCAGCATCCTAGGTGGCATTTGGTGCATTGAATCATATATACCTCATTGCTAGATGTGCAAGAGTATGAACCTTTAATGCTGTAGGTTTTATTGTTGTGTGTGGCTGTGTTGTCTGTACATATGTGTTGACACAGTTTGTAGCAAGGTTTTTTGCATTGACTGGTCCCATTTTCTTTATTCTTCCCATCAGTGGGTAGCTTCCTGTTGATTAATTTTTGTTGAAGGTGTGGTGATTGTCTGATGGCCAAAATTGGTGTTTCAGAGAAAATGTTTTTCAGTCTCATCTTGTGTTAACATTGGTTATAGGTCTTTGATGATTTTTGTATTTCCTCAAGAGCTGGGTTGTAGGTGACCACAAGTGGCACGCGTGTATATATATTTTTTTCTCTCTGTACTGTAGCAGGCACGTGCGTGGAGGTTTTTACAGCAGAGTTGATTTGTTTGGTAATAGTCTTTGGTTTGTAGCCTCTCTGTCTCATAGATTGGGAGAGTACATTTAGATGGGAATTACGGTCATTAGGATCAGAGCATATGCCATGGTACCTAGTGGCTTGGCTGTAGATGATGCTCTGTTTAGTATGGGAGGGGTGGAAGCTGGAGCTGTGAAGGTAACTGCACCTGTCTGTGGGTTTTCTGTAAACCAAGGTGTGGATTGTGCCATTGTTATATGTCACAGTGGTGTCCAGAAAATTCACAGATCTAGCGGAATATTCCACTTTTAGTTTGATGGATAGAATGTGTTAAAAGAGTCATGGAACTGCATGAGTTTTTCTTCGCTTTCAGTGCAAATTATGAAGATATCAACAATATAGCAATAATATTTGCGATAAGATCTGCCATAAACAGATGATCATATTGGGGTGCCATCTTAGTGTCCATAGCAGTGCCCATGGTTTTTTAGGTAAACCTCATTGTTAAAACTGAAATAATTATGTGTGAGGATGAATAGTGCCAGTTCTATGATAATTCAGGGGCTGTATTTTTGGTTGTCGGCATAAGAGAGGAAATGGAAGCAAGCACTGATGCCATCTGTACGTGGAATGTTGCTGTACAGAGATTCCACATCCATGGTTACAAGGATGGTGTTAGCAGGGAGATTGGTTTGGCTGAGTTTGTTGAGAAAGTCGGTTTTGTCTTTTATCAAGCTGTTGGTGACTAGAGGTATTAGGGTATTTTCTACCAGTCCTGAGATCTGTTCTGTGAGAGTTCCCATTCCTGTAATTATGGGTCTTCCACAGTGGCATACACATGACCCATGGGGCCCCGGTGCGAAAATTGATCCGTGGTCCCCCCCGTGCGCGCGGGCCGGGCCACAACACATGGCGGTGGGCACCTGGTCGCAGGGGTTACAGGCAGTGGCGTACATACCAGGGTCGCAGGGGTCGCGACTGCGACCGGGCCCGGCCCACCAGGGGGCCCGGCCGCCCCTGCGACCCAGTATGTAGCCACTGGGCCAGCCTCTTCTCCTTGGGGGGCCCAGGAGCCGACCACCCCAGGGCCCCCCTGAGGCTGGCCCTGCTGACCCCGGGTGGCCGGTCGGGCAGGCAGGCGGGCGCGCGAGGGAGCACTCAGTGCTTCCTCTTCTGCTCCCTCGCGCACCGCACTGATACCGGAGCCGGAAGATGACGTCATCTTCCGGCGCCGGCACCCCTACGCGGCGCGCGAGGGAGCTGAAGAGGAAGCACTGAGTGCTCCCTCGCGCGCCCGCCTGCCTGCCCGACCGGCCACCCGCCCAGGAGCCCCACTGGACCCCAGGGAATAATCCTCCCCAGCACTCCAAAAGGTAAGGAGGCTGGGGGGATTATATTAAAAAAAAATCAAAAAAATCATGTGTGAGTGTTAGTGTTAGTGTGTGTGAGTGTTAGAGTGAGTGTTAGTGTGTGTGTCTGCTAGTAAGTGTTAGTGTGTTAGTGTGAGTGAGTGTTAGTGTGTGAGAGTGTTAGAGTGAGAGTGAGTGTGTGTTAGTGTGAGTGAGTGTTAGTGTGTGTTAGTGTGAGTGAGTGTTAGTGTGTGAGAGTGTTAGAGTGAGTGTTAGTGTGTGTTAGTGTGAGTGAGTGTTAGTGTGTGAGAGTGTTAGAGTGAGAGTGAGTGTTAGTGTGTGTGTGTTAGTGTGTCTGCGAGTGAGTGTCAGTGAGTATGTTACTGTGTGTGTCTTACTGAGTGTGTGTGTGTGTTAGTGAGTCTGTTTGATGTCTGTTAGTGAGTGTGTGTTTGTCAATGAGAGTGTATGTTTTGTAAGTGAGTGTGTATGTATGTCTGTCGCTGACTGCGTCTCTGTCAGTAAATGTGTGTGTCTGTTAGCTAGTGTGTATGCGTCTGTAAGTGTGTGTGTGTGTGTCATCAGCACTTACCTTTCTCCAGCGCCGGACTCCCTTGGCGCTGAGGATCCCTCAGCCTCTCAGCACCGAATGCGACCGCGCACGCATTCAAACCGCCCATAGGAAAGCATTACTCAATGCTTTCCTATGGACGTTCAGTGTGCTCCTCTAGCGGCTGTCAGTGAGACAGCCACTAGAGGCTGGATTAACCCTCAGTGAAACATAGCAGTTTCTCTGAAACTGCTATGTTTTCAGCTGCAGGGTTAAAACTAGAGGGACCTGACACCCAGACAACTTCATTGAGCTGATGTGATCTGGGTGTCTGTAGTGGTCCTTTAAAGGACCACTATAGTGCCAGGAAAACATACTCGTTTTCCTGGCACTATAGTGCCCTGAGGGTGCCCCCACCCTCAGGGACCCCCTCCCGCCCGGCTCTGGAAAGGGGTAAAACTTACCTTTTTTCCAGCGCTGGGCGGAGAGCTCTCCTCCTCCGATTCTCCTCCCCGTCGGCTGTATGCGCACGCACGGCAAGAGCTGCGCGCGCATTCAGCGGTCACATAGGAAAGCATTCATAATGCTTTCCTATGGACGCTGGCGTGCTCTCACTGTGAAAATCACAATGAGAAGCACGCAAGCGCCTCTAGCGGCTGTCAATGGGACAGCCACTAGAGGAAATAGAGGAAGGCTTAACCCATTCATCAACACAGCAGTTTCTCTGAAACTGCTATGTTTATGAAAAAATGGGTTAACCCTAGCTGGACCTGGCACCCAGACCACTTCATTAAGCTGAAGTGGTCTGCGTGCCTACAGTGGTCCTTTAAGTGTGTGTGCATCTGCATGCACTGGCGTACATACCGCGGTTGCAGGGGTTGCAGCCCTGTAACCCCTGCGACCAGGTGCCCACCGCCATGTGTGTTGCGGGCTGAAGCCAGCAGCCTTGTGGGGCCTGGATCAATTTGCTGCCAGAAGGGGCCCCATGCCATGGGTCGTAGCTGTATGCATACACTAGTTACAAGGGCTGCGACCCCTGTGACCTTGGCAGCGGTATATCACGCCAGTGCATGCAGATACACACACTTAAAGGACCACTACAGACACCCAGATCACATCAGCTCAATGAAGTTGTCTGGGTGTCTCCCTCTAGTTTTAACCCTGCAGCTGAAAACATAGCAGTTTCAGAGAAAATGCTATGTTTCACTGAGGGTTAATCCAGCCTCTAGTGGCTGTCTCACTGACAACCGCTACAGGAGCACACTGAACGTCCATAGGAAAGCATTGAGTAATGCTTTCCTATGGGCGGTTTGAATGCGTGCGCGGTCGCATTCGGAGCTGAGAGGCTGAGGGATCCCCAGCGCCAAGGGAGTCCGGCGCTGGAGAAAGGTAAGTGCTGAAGACACACACACTCTCACTTACAGGCGCATACACACTAGCTAACAGACACACACATTTACTGACAGAGACACACTCAGCGACAGACATACATACACACTCACTTACAAAACATACACTCTCATTGACAAACACACACTCACTAACAGACATCAAACAGACTC